TTCAGGTCCTAAGGATATGGATGTTGCAACAAGTCCTCCAAAGTAACTGCATTGTAGAACGACACAGGAATTTCTGATCTGATGTCTCTGTCGGTGGGATAACGTTGTTTGCCTGTGCCTTCCTGAACCTGTACAAATCAGTTTTATGACGTGACGTTTGGTTAGGTCTAGGCACAAACACGACTTTGGGTTTGGGTTAGATTTACTTCATTGTTACGGTTGGGGGACGTTTGTCGTCATGATTACAGTAGAAACCATGTGTTACGGTCAGGGAACAACTGTGATCATGGTTAAAAGAACCAAACATTGAACAGCGGTCTCCTGTTTTGACTCACCCATCCACCCCAACCTTCTATGATATTTTCACATTACTTTCTCATTTGCTCCCGTCATAATTACAACGGCTAAAATTTGATTGCAATATACTTATAGCTCCAAGTTTCATGTGTACGCTAAAAATATAAAAATATTATATACGTATTGCCATGAAATTAAGCCATGTTGGGTACTCTAGCCCTCTTAATGTCATAATGTCAATTTGCACACAAGATGCCTCATAATCCATTTAGAAGAATTCTATGAAATGGCTGTAAAAAGTTGGATTTCAATGAGCCCATGATCTTTTCTTCACCCCATTGTCCAGATTTGCTCATTTCAATGTGTATTGTGGGGTGTAATGAACTTTGCGGTCACTAGCAGCTGCAAGTGGGACTTTTGGTCTTGTTGAATGTCAGCAACTTCAGGGCCATAGAAATATCTTATATTCTCCTGTAGTGTCTCATTCAGTTAAACATAAAATAACTAAAAAACTGAACACACACACACACACACACACACACACAAAACACACGTTCTTCTCTCTCCACACAGCCAGACTTTATCACACATTACTAACAAGCATGAAGAGAGTGTGTCGACACACACTCAAGCACAGCAAGCATTTTGTTCTCTGTCTTTAACACCCAACACATTGTACACACACACCTATACACACACACACACATACACTCCCAAAATTTCCTTTCTTGTTCACAAACACTCACACACTAAAATGCCTCATTCAAACTTTCACTTTTATAGTGCACATATACACACACCCAGGTGCAAGAATACAGAAATCTAAATCTTGCTCAATCTTTCCCTTTTACAAGACCCACCCACCCACCCACCAAACACACACACAATGACAGGATCTCTCTCTGCAGGCTCCAAGGGTCTGATGAAAGTGTTGAGAATGTGTACTGAGAGGCCACTGACACTTCCTCCACTTTCTAGTACTGACGACTTGCCTCAGGCATCTAATGCCCCAGTCACTGCTCCCTCGGGACGTTTAATGTCTATAAGCCGCAGATGACAAATAGAATAGATGGGCTTTCATCTGTGGCGGTAGTTATCGTAGAGGCTCCCTCTCTGTGGGTCTATCCTGCATTAGTGTTGCTGCCATCACTCAGCTGCATGTTCCTTTCACTGCTTTCTAATGGCTGAAAAAAACCCTCAAAATTACATGTAGGTTTAATAATGTTCTTGCTGAAGTAATTAAAAATTCACCAAAAAGATAAAAAATAGCAAACCCATCACAAACATCATCACATATTTAGCAGTTTGTTTCCAGAGCGTTGACCTGTGCTACTTTCAGGCAACATCATGACAAACTTTATACATATAAGGCATACGGTATGCATAAAGACTGATACTGATTATTTTTTTGTGCATTATCTGATGAATAAAAATAATTTCCTTAAAGGATACGTTCCACAACGCCTAAAACAATGCTCACATGCCTTTATACATTGAAACAGTTTTTCCTCGCTTTAATGCTGTTTACACTGGCAATTAAAAGATCCACCATCCTCATTTTGTGCATAAATATATTCAGAGTTATATCTGAAGTTAATTTGAGTCTTCATCAGTCTAAAATAGATAAATTAGGGGATATCTTCCAAAATTAAAGTATTTTAGTGCTCTCTGTGTTTCTGTGCTGAGCTGCAGTTTAGGGATATTAACACAAAGAGGGAAAAAATTACTGATACTCACTTGACTCCTGAAGTCTCACATTAACTTCAGGTAAACTTTGGAACACATTTTTGTGCAGAATCAGGATTTTGTCCCTGTAAGTGCATCTCTCAAAGCAGCAATATGGGTAACTTCTATAAAAATAACTTTTGTGGTATTTGTATTGGTTCATGCCAAAGATAGTTGATTGTTATATCTCATTCCCGTGTTGTCAAACCTTTTGGTTGGTGGCTTGAATGAGACTCCACAATCAGCAGTCTTTCTCAGCTCTGATTGGTTGTTTTCTCATTGACTACTATGAGAAAATATTGAACGTTTCAGCAAATATTACAGAAAGTTATTTTTTTTAATAAAAGTTACCTAATACAGCTTTAATGGGCAGTATCACCAAGAGGAATGAGCAAACAAAAACTGTTTCAGTGTACTTAAGACAGACTTGAAAAACAGTGAACCTGTCCTAAAACAGGTTTATTATTTTGTGTGGTTGTGTGTAAAATGTCTTGGAAGGACAGAGGAAACTGAGAAAAGTGTATTATAATGATTGCTGATTTCTTGACATGTCTCCTCAGATAATCAACATGCAGAAATTAAGCAGATACATCCGGCATGTCTGGAGCAGTACAGTATTAGCCATAATTCAATACAGCTAATAGAATGTACCATTGCTATTTCAGTCAATGAAATAACATTTTACAGCCACTCCAAGCAAACATGGCTGCAGATAGTCCCTTATCGGCCCATCTCAGGAAATTGGAGATATAAACAGAGTCCAGAAAAACGTTTATTTAATTGATTAGGACTTCCGTTATACTGTTATTGGTGCACTGCCATGCCTAATACACACCCCTTTTGGCCAAGGAATATAGATGTTGTACACTGCCAACATTTGGAGCCAGTCTACTGTATAGTTGTTGGGCAGTATTGCTGCTTAAATGGGCTTAATTTAGAATTTATAGCATGTAGTTCTATGGAACAAAAGCACAGCCAGGGCTAACTTATGGGTTATTGCTACCGGCAAAAGTACCCCCTACATTATGTAACATGTCTTGTATATCATGGCCGTCAAAACAGTACCAATGAGATTTAGTGCTCCCTTGCAGTTGAGGTGCAGGAGGTGAAAAATATTTTTGGAAAACTTAAGCTTTCATAGCTTTCAACACTGCCTCATGTCCCAGGAGCATCTCTTATTTTTCATGTGAATTTTTGAGAGGTGAAGGTTGTGATAGTTTTTCCAACATTGCAAATTCGTCCAAGAGGGCGGGAAAAAAAAAAAAGCTTCATGTTTGCAGTTGAGTTTTGGCAGAGCGGAGATGTTTGCTGTGTCACTGCAGAGAGAAAAGAGGGCTTAGAGGATTTGAGCAGTCTTAGTAGAAGGTAAATCAAGAGAGAGGGATTTCCACAAAAACACTGGGCTTTGACGCAGAACTTCTCATACTTGTTGTACTGTCATTCCTGGTCCCTTCTTGTTTCTGATACACCCCTTCTCTCTCTTTGTCTCTGTCTTACTTACACACACATACACACTTCACTCTACTCTGCTCTAGCCCTGAGGTCCTGTTTCCGGTCTGGGGTGTATGAGAGAGACTAGCCAACATCTGTGTGGGACTGGAGTTTATTACACACACACACACACATGTCCCTGTGAGCATTGTTTATGTGTGTGTGAGTTGACTATAAGCATCATGTTGCTGCTATTGCTGCTTACTTTTCTCAGTTTCTACTACTGCATTTTTTAAAAGCAGGAACACTCGTTAAATTCCACCAGATGGAAAAAACACGTTTCAGCTTTATATCACACTGGGGTTTATTCACACAGCACATATAGATACATACACACACACACACACACACACGGCTGCACACACATAACAGGCAAGCATGCAGGCACACACACACACACACACCCCTTGTGTAGTGTTGTTGTAAACTGTGACTTGTAGACATTACAAGTTTTTGAACAATCGTTTTTAGACCTTTTGCTTCTATAAAGCTGCTGTTCCTGTCTTAACAAAGGTGGTTTTCTGTATGTTAAATACGTAGGACACACATACACACACACACACACACACACACACACACACATAGTATTGAATCTAAATCCAAGGGGGGATTTCTGTTTTTCCATGTTTCAGGAACCAGCTTAAGTCCACATGTTTCCTAATACACTGCTTTGTCTTGAACGTTATGAAATAGGAATATATGGATTTTTGTGGAAAGTGCAGGTTAACTCCTTGTTGGCTGAAGCATAAAAATAGAACATGCTCAGAAAAATGAAGCAGAGGCCGCTGTGTTTAGTTTAGACAGATTATGTGTCCTAAATTCATGTAAATGAATAGTTCAATAGTATTTTTGAAAAAAAAAAATTATCATAATCTAAATAGTAGTTAAAATACACTTTGACATATAAAAGGCATTTGATGGTTTGATGGTGTTTATTGTTGATTCCTATAGGTTATCACAGAGAAATAAGAGCAAATTGTTGAACTTTAGGGGAACTTGCACGTATTATTGCTTAATGCTTCAATTTTTATTATACACACACAGTTATATCTGTAAAATTCCTAGGTAAACCTACCCCCATCACAACCAATTGAACCCACATTGAGTAAATGTTGATCCAATCTCATTTACATGGTAATGCAATCAGACTGAAATCCCCATGTTTGCCAAAATCTATTACTGAGCTACCTGGTCATTATAATCATCTCAATCTCATAATCTAGCTTTGGTGATCTTCAAACATCCCAAGTTTGGCTCATACAGCATGGTTCAATTGCCAGTTTTTAGGAAAAAAAACAGATGTTATCTACTTATGAAATCTAGTTTTCCGTGGTATTTTATTTTTTTCTGCAGGAATTGAATTGAGAGGATAAGAGGTGTTACAGATCAGTGCATTCGATGAAATAGACCAGATTACTGCTCTGATGACAGCATCACCTTGTTCAATCAAAACCCTTCTTAACATTTAATATATTTTTTCCTTTCAGAAAGCGCCACCACCATGGATGAAGAAATGTGCTACTACAATGAGACCATAGCCTTTTTCTACAACCGCAGTGAAAAGTACCTTGCTACTGACTGGAACACCGTCAGCAGGCTGGTGATGGGCCTGGGCATCACTGTGTGCATCTTCATCATGCTCGCCAACCTTCTGGTGATGATTGCCATCTACGTCAACAGGAGATTCCACTTCCCCATCTACTACCTGATGGCCAACCTAGCAGCTGCTGACTTTTTTGCTGGACTGGCCTACTTCTACTTGATGTTTAACACGGGACCAAACACAAGGCGTCTGACTGTTTCGACGTGGCTGCTGCGCCAAGGCTTGATTGATACCAGTCTGACGGCGTCTGTGGCCAATCTGCTAGCCATTGCCATCGAGCGCCACATCACCGTATTCCGCATGCAGCTACACACACGCATGAGTAACCGACGCGTGGTGGTGGTGATTGTCATAATCTGGACCATGTCCATAGTCATGGGGGCCATCCCCAGCGTGGGCTGGAACTGTATCTGTAGTATTAAGTCTTGCTCCAACATGGCCCCACTTTACAGTAACTCCTACCTGATCTTCTGGGCAGTGTTTAACCTAGTGACTTTTGTTGTCATGGTTACACTATATGCCCATATCTTTGTCTATGTGCGCCAGAGGACCATGAGGATGTCACGGCACAGCTCTGGACCACGACGCAATCGGGATACCATGATGTCTTTGCTGAAAACTGTGGTGATCGTGTTGGGTAAGAATAATCTATCTATCTATCTATCTATCTATCTATCTATTGACTACATTTATTCTGTATCTATCTCTATCTAGCAAGCTACCCCCAAGCTACTGTGTATATCTAGTATTTCTGTAGCAGCTGAGGGTGACATTTGGAGTCATCAACAGCAGCGGAACAATGAATCTGTTGATGGGTCTATCTGTGAGGCTGTATCATTCCACACTGAGTGCAAGCCCAGTGTCCGCCTAGCACGACTGTAAGCCTCAAATACATCATCTCAGCCACTCCTGTCCCCTAATCACATGAATGTGCTGTGATTCTGCTTGAGCAGTTGCTATGGTGCCAATCAAATCATGTTTCATTTTTCAGATGCCAAAAATGTGCATATGAGTAGTTATATTGTAGAGAAAATACAGTTGTACAGTTGGAATAGACAGAAGGTTTTCTGCCATAGCACTTTGATTTGGTTTGTTGACTTACACTACACTCTAATTTTCACTGTAGGCTAAATCATTGTCTTTATTTCCTGAAGAAAATGAAAGTGAGGATGTAACAAAAGTCAAAGTCAAAAAAGTCAAAAAGACAGCAAATATTCTGCAAAATGTATGAGCAGATCATATGCTACATTGATGTTATCAGCAGCATTATGTGTTACATTTTATAATCCCCTGGA